TGTATTGCTTATAGCATAGGGCGTTGGCCTTTAGGAGCTTGTATGGGAGACATCTCTCCTCTATGAGATTTTCTGACGAACTCCCCGACTAAGGCCTTAGGGAGACACTATGGAGACTTCTTTCTACTATGAGATCTCCTGACGAACTCTCCGAATACGGCTAAACTTTGCATCTATATTCTGATTTACGACTAATTATCAGTCGAGGCTTTATCCACGTGAATGGATGGGAAGGGGATGAAATGAGGGGTAAACAGTTCCCATCGAAGCGAGATTTTTAGCAGATAGTGGAAAAACAGAGGATGTTCTAACTTCCGTGGAAGGAAGTGACTCTCTTAACTGTTTTCCCACGCTAGGAAAACGTTATTTTCCCATCAAAAGGAAAGAATATTTTTCTAAATTTATTATTTTAGACCCGGGGGCTATTCAGATCTCACAATTTTTAAGAAATTTACAATGCAGTAACTAACNATCAGAAACATGACCGACATCGTCTGAAAAGACTAGTGTGGAAAAAAGAACTTCCTCTCTGCAGCAATTGACGGAAGAATTTAATGAATCCCATCCCAACCCATATCTACATGAACTATGCGCAGGGAACTGAATAGAATTGGTATGAACAGCTGAAGAATTGCTTACTTACGTAAATAAATATGAAAAAGTAGATTTAATTCTTGTTAAAAATAAAATACTGAAAATAGTTTTTCTATGAGAGGATTATTGAACCTCTAAGATAAACAAACAGACTTTTACCAAAAACAATGATCTGTATTGCAAGTAAGATACTGTTATTATATTGTTTATCTTAATATGTAGGCCTACACGATTATGCTTACAAATATACACATCCCTAACTCATTACACAGATTACTAGATTAAACAAGAAGCGTGCACTTGTTACAATGAAATTAATTTCCATACAGGTTTTATAGGAATTACTTATTTAATCCAGGGAAAAATCTCGGTTATCTTGGCCTACATTTGGCACGAACTAGCACACATTCAAATGACAACAGTATAACAATTTTCATATCTAACTTACTAAATCCTTTTTTCCAAATTTTCCTTATGCTTATGCACTTAAACATTGCATGTATTTTATGTAAAAATAATTACAATAAAAATCATAATTTTTATATCTTTAATGAAATTGAGTAGGTATTACTGCTGATGTCCAGTAACAAGTTTTTCATTCCTAATCTGAATGTAAATCACAGTAAATGAACTAGACATAATTCATTTTCTGAAAATTGAGGATTTTCATCTTTTGGCATCTCACAAATGCATTCCATTTGTATCAGAGATTGCAATATTGATAGGAAAAATAAATGATGTTTTTTTTCAATTTATACAGCTCTTCAATTTACTGTAATTTTGACATAGGGTTTTCGAAAATAGGCTAAATGTCCTGAATGTTTAATTATGAAAACTGACTTTGTTTTTATTTAATAACATAGTTGTCATTGTTAATCTCTAATTATAAATTGAAAGATCATTTAATTTCCAACAAAATTCTAAACTACAGATTAAGTTTCTGATAAAATCCTGTCTTTAGGCACAACTAATTACTTAATAAAAATTACATTGAAATGTTAGAAATATTTAAACAAAACTTTTTACATCATTTTGTCAAAAGAATCTTGCAATTTATGGCCCATTTCATATATGAAACATTAAACTATTTTAATTCAAAATAACAAATAAATAAGACAAATATATGTTTAATTAAAAATGCTTGTTAACAGTTTACATTTCTTTACTTAATTGGTCTACATTTCAAGTTTCATTTTGTAAGGTTTGAAAATTAGAACAAAGGAATCCAAGAAATAAAAATGCTAATAAATAACACTATTTGCACTATTAAATTTAATTATGTGTCATTGACCATTGAAAAGATAAAATTAATATTCATTAAACTTTCATTATTTTTACTGCAAGAAACAACCACAGAATCCATTTTTAGGTGTTCTATTTGATTTTTAACACATTTTAGTTAAAACTAAAAACTAATAATATTCTTGGGATACTGAAAACATTAAAAATCTGCAAATTGTTCATTCAAATAATTAAATATATACACTCACTGGTCAATGAATTAGAAACCCCCATGCATATTAAATAAATGTAATTCTGCAGCTTATATGCAAAACATTCTTCTCAAACTGCACTTATTTAAAAATAACCACTATTTACTAACCTTTAACATACAGTTTATTTTATTAACATAATCTAGGATAAAGCGTTTAAAGTTAAAACGTTGTATAATCGGTTTCGTTCGTCATAAATCAAAAATTGTTCATTTGATCCTGACGAAGGTCAATTAATTTGATTAAAAACGTTAGATTTCGTCAATAAAATAAACTGCATGTTAAAGATTAGTAAAGGGTGGTTATATGCAAAACACTTGAGTCATGTGAGTTACCATGTGTTCGTAAGCTCCTATTTAAGAATGATGTTAGTATGGTCATTAAGTTTATGAAAATTGGAAAAGCAAAGGACTTGACAGGTTCAAAAAGGGCTAATTGTGGGTGTCCATTTTGCTGGAGCCACGATATCAAAAACTGTAGAGCTGACTGGTTTTTCCAAAGGTGAGATATCCTGAGTGTTCTAATCAGTGGAAAAATAACCCACAGTCAATGTCTAAAAGAAGTAACTGTGGCTCCAAAACAGTTAATCAGAAACATGACCGACATCGTCTGAAAAGACTAGTGTGGAAAAAAGAACTTCCTCTCTGCAGCAATTGACGGAAGAATTTAATGAATCCCATCCCAACCCATATCTACATGAACTATGCGCAGGGAACTGAATAGAATTGGTATGAACAGCTGAAGTCCTATTCGAAAACAGCTGATTTCTGTGAAGAACCAGAAAGTTTGTCTACAGTGTTGCCAAGAGTGCCGCAATTGGACATCTGAGGACTGGAAAAAATAACATGCTCAGACGAATTGCAGTACACTTTATTCTGTACCGATGGCAGACAGAGGGTTTGAAGGGAGCCCCACAAAGCAATGGACCCTGCTTGGACCTCATTAACATGACTCAAGGTTCTGGTGGGGGTATTATGGTATGGGACATGTTCTGTTGGGACAGAACTGGTCTGCTGATAATCCTGGATGGTCGAGTGACTTCCAACGAGTACCTGAACATTGTTACCAATCAAGTTCATCTTGCAATGTTGCATTTTTTTCCTGCATGTGACGGCACTTTCTTTGATGACAATGCTACTGTCCATTGCACAAGAACAGTTCACCAGTGGTTCAGCAAGCATGAAAACAACTTTTGCTGGTCACTCTGGCTAAACAGAGCCCAGATCTTAATCCCATCAAAAACGTATGGGACATGTTAGAACAATAGATCAACCAGCAAAATCCACTTCTGTCAAATCTATGCAAACTAAAGGAAAGTCTAGTGAATGCCTGTTGTGCATTGAGATTAGAAGCACTTCAACACCTTGTAGAATCCATGCCAAATTAAGTAAATGATGTAATTCGAGCTAAAAATGGTCCAATAAAATATTAAACTGCTGTTTCTAATTTGTTGGCCAGAGAGTTTACATTCTAATGAAATTTAATACAAAAATAGAAAAATTATCAGAATATTTTAAAGATTACCATATATTTCCACAGATAAGACGCTAGTTGAATCATAAAAAAAGGCCCCCCCAAAATCCGGAGTCATCTTACAGGACAGATACAAAAAAAATTAGATTGAAATTTATATAAATTAAAACCATTATAAAATAAAACAAATCAATCACTAATGTATTTAAATAGCTCATACAATGTTTTGGTGAATAGTCTAGGTCAATGGTATTCAAACATTTTAACAGTGAGACCCCAAGGTAATTTTCCGTGATCCCAAATGGGCGAAAATCCCAAATTCCGTGATCCCAAATGTTGCGGAAAATTACCTTGGAATGAATACCACTGGTCTAGGTCATTACTTGAATGTCCGAATCAGTGCAATAATCATGAGGCAGTACTGTCAGATGCAAGAAAATAAAATTTGTTCATTCGAAAAATTACGAATAGGACATAATTCTGTATATGCTATACAGTATTATTATCCAGATGATGATCGCTGATCTAAACTAAATTCATAGGCCGTTGATAGTTTGGGGTCGTCTTATAGGACAGATGTATGCAAAAACTATAAAACTTTGATGAAAATTTATACCTCATTTTATCTGAAGGTCATCTTATCTGTGGAAATACAGTGGTGTCTCATATAATGTATGCCTCGAATAACGGACGCTGCGAACAACGGACTTTCTGTAAACAAATGCGAATGATGTTTCCACTCTTTTGCCATTGCCAATGACAATCTGCTATTTTTATAATATATTAGTATTATTAGAATATATTATTAGTATATCTGAAGTAGAGCTCCCGTTGGGATTCGGCTTGCTCCCTTGTTTATTACGTACGTCACCTCAGTGCAGAGTATTTACATTTATTCAAGTGTTGTGCAAATCATGGCTTCTAAAAAAATAGAAAGGTGATTTCAATTGAAACAAAGCGAGACATCATCAGAAGGAGTGAAAGTTGACAAAAACTTCCTTGTCAAATGGAGAGAGGTTCAGGAGTTTACTAACACTCATTATCCAAACACAGCTGAGGCCAACAGGATCAATGATCTCTACAATGACACCCTTGCCCGTCATTTCCGACAGGTGTTGAAGAAGAGAGAGAAACAGACCACCTTGGACATGTTTTTCAAGAAGCCAGCTGACAAAAAACAAAGGATGGAACAAGAGGAGTTGACCCTGCAAGCTCCGGTAGCCTCTCCTGAATCTGACTCCGATTAAAAAACAATAAAAAGAGAC